GGGAAACAGGGAATGTGTGACTTTACTCCCTCCCCTTCTAGTATAAAAGAAGCCTGAATTCTAACTCAGGCAAGATGGTTCTTTGGGGGATGAGCCCACCATCTTCTCCGTTTGCCGGCTTTTCAAATAAAGTCATGATTCCTTGCCCCAGCAATTCGTCTCCCCGTTATTGGCCTGTCGTGCTGCGAGCAGTACGAGCTTAGACTCATAACATTAGATCCCATTTCTGCAAGACTTCTGTGCATGCCAATTAAATTTGTTTCTTTTTCTCCTGCTAATCTGTCTTGTGTCAATTTTGTAGAAATTTCCCCCTCCCCAACAGAGATCACATCTCCAGCATATGGTAGGGTCTCAATAAATATGGTATTGAGACCCAAATATGGTAGGGTCTCCATGTCTCTGCTTCTTATTTGTAGAAAAAGCTCCCGTCTCCTAGGCCTTCCCAGAGTTCCAAAGAGCAGAATCAAACAGCTAATGACTACAGAAGCGAGAAAATGCAGAAACCAAGGAAAAGTAGTCAAGCAAGAAAACTACTAAGAGCTTGAACGATAGTCACAGGACTCCTAGTCCCTCCTGAAGAGATACAGACAACAACATGATGCATATCCTTGAGTTCTTTTACAGCAACCAGGACCCCAAGGGATAGAAACTGCTGACCACAAACACAAAGGCCCCAGCCTGGCTGGAACAAGAAGGTTGCGGATTGAGATTTCTAAAATATCACCATGTTACCTCACCACCAACCAAACAGAAGAATGTCCACAAGCTAAGCATGCTCCCTGGACCCTCACCCCAAATGTTGCCTTTGAAAACGCTTGCCTGAAAGCCATCGGGGAATCTGGGTGTTCTGAGCACTAGCTGCCTGTTCTCCTTGCTTGGCACCCTGCAAATAAACGCTGCACTTTTCTCCACCACAACCCAGTATCAGGAGATGGCCTTCGCTGGGCATCGGGAAAGCGAACTCAAGTTCGGTTTGGCAACAATTTCACAAAGGGGGAAAAAAATCATCTGAGTTTTCTCTTGAATTGCAGAATAATCATATTTTATTCTCTTTCTGGACCCAAAGACTCACCTTTGCCATCACCACCTGGGGAAACGTTTGTCTTTGCCTCTAAGTTTTCTCCTTTAAATGATACTGAGAACATGGCTGGTGGTTTTAATGGAGAAGGGCAGCAACTCTCATATTCTAATCCAGGGAGGCTTCCTTTGAAAAGGCTCTACTATTCAGCCAAGCACTTAGCTTAAGGAGAGAAGCAGGTCAAACACCAAGGAGACGAGGACACACGACTGGATGGCTGCATAATATATGCAGCAATAAGTGAAAAGTCACAGTCAGAGTCACATCACATCAAGCCTACTGGGTCCAAGGCAGCATTTCTTAACCAGTTTTCTTTTCTGTGAAATGGAGATAACGAAAGCACCCACTTCATAGGATCATTAGAAAGATTAAACAAGTTAATACATGTAAAGCACTAAGGTCTTCAGTAAGCACTAAATAAATCTCAGCTTTATTATTATTAAAGTTGGGGTTATAGACTTCTGGAAATCTAATGAAAGCTACAGATCCCTGAACCCATAATTGTGATCTAGAGTCAAACTCCAGGTCCACGTGGAGAACGCAGAGAAAGTTGGTGAAGTTCCCAAATGATGTCAATGCTAAGGCTCAAGAGTCCAGAAATGAAAAAGGAGTGGCCCGAGTAGGTGGAAGTCTTGAAAACAAAACATGAAGATGTGGTTACTGAATGAGGAACTAACAATCCACAGAAGCAAGCAGCATTCATGTTGCAATGAACGCAGGAGACAATTCTATTAAATTCTGCAAATATAAAACACATTTGTGTTCCACCTGTTGGTAACAGAAGCTACGTGCAACAAAAAGTTAAAGAGTATTTATTATATTAGCTTCAGAGTCAGCAAATGACATCAGTAGAAAAGGCAGTGATAAAACAATCAGGTACCAGAGGAAGAGAGAAAGGCAGTGTGACTTGGAGAAGCGTCCGTAAACCTAACTGGAGGTTTGTAGACACTTGTTCTCGCTTCTCCAATCTTCCCTAGCTCCCGGAGTCCCCACCCCTGGCGGGATGATCACTGGTCTCTGTCGCTAGTGCTCAGCCTTTCCTCTCTTCTAGGGAACTCAGCGCTCACAACCCCTTCGGAAAGTGAACAAAAGAACGGAGAGGAGGTTATGTTTAAGGAAGGAAGCTAATACTGAATCCCTACAATACAGGACGCACAGAGCCTGGCCCTATCATACATCTGAATTTAATTAATGGGGAAAGA